CCCAAAAGGGCTGAATCAGTTGGCATTCCCACCTGCAGTGGAGGAGGGTCCCTTTCTTGCCACATACATGCCAACACCAGTTGCTTTTGTTCTCTTGGATGTGTTCCAGTCTCTGTGGTGTGAGATGATATCTCATTGTTGTTTTGATTTGCATCTCCAGGATGCACATATGCCCATGTTTGTTCATTGCAGCACTGTTTATAATAGCCAGAATCTGAGTGCCTGCGAACAGATGACTGGTTAAAGAAGCTTTGATACATCTACACAACGGATTACTATGTAGCCATAGTAAAAAGATGAAGATGTTAGAAAAGATAAAGTCACGAAATTTACATACAAGTGGTACTACATGGAAAGTGTCATGCTACACAAAATGAATCAGAAAGAGAGAGACAGACATAAAAAGATTGCATTCATCTGGGGAACATAAAATAACAAAATAAGAGACTAGTACCCAAGAATAGCTGAAATAAATACCAGGAGGCTTACTCCATAGCTTGGAGGCCAGCCGCACGTGCCAGGGGAAAAAGCAGCTCAGATAGAGAAGGAAGCACCAAATAAAGCGTGTTGGGAGGATCCTCCCAGGATGGGAGATGCATGCTGAAAGTAGACTATAGACCGAACATGATTTTCCACTCAATGCCTCTTTTGCAAATCACAGCATCCAAAAGAAGAGAGAGAACAAAAGGGAATGCCCTGCCACAGACGCAGGGTGGGATGTGGGGGAGAGGGGGAGGGATACTGGTATCAGTGGTGGTGGAAAATGGGCACTGGTGGAGGGATGGGCACTCAAACATTGTATACATTGTATAATTGAAACCCAAGCACAAAAATTTGTAAGTCTACAATGAACCTCATGGTGTTTTACCAATAAAAATTAAAAAAAAAAACTTCCCCACACTCCTTGTCCCACCAGAGTGATATGCATAATCATCGCAGATTTTATGCTAAAACTTTTTGCAAAAATGTGAGGTGTACAGGAGTTTTGCTCCATGGCTTGGATGCTAGCCACACATGCTAGGGGAAAAGGGAGCTCAGATAGAGAAGGGAGCACCAAATAAAGGGTGTTGGGAGGATCCTCCCAGGATGGGAGAAGCTTGCTGAAAGTAGACTATAGACCAAACATGATTGTCACCCATTGCCTCTTTTGCAAACCACAAAACCCAATTAGAGAGAGAGAACAAAAGGGAATGCCCTGCCACAGAGGCAAGGGTGGGATGGGGGGATGGGGGGGTGGGGGGGATACTGGGATCCGTGGTGGTAGGAAATGGGCACTGGTGGAAGAATGGGTATTTGATCATTGTATAATTGAGACACAAGCACAAAAATTTGTAAGTCTACAACTGTACCTCATGGTATTTCACCAATAACAATTAAATAAAAAATGTGAGGTGTAAACATTATGTAAAAATCTTCTTTTTCAATGTGTTGCTATTACTGAAAAAATCATTTCTTGCTAAACTGTCTACACAATGAAACCAAATTTTGTATGTAAAAAATGAAACAAGGCATGCATGTCCAAGAATTTTGAAGCATTGCTTAAAATAGCCTAGACATCAAATTTATCCAAATATCAAAACTCATAGAGTAATTGAGGAAAATCTGGTGTGATCGAAATGATAGGATATTTGCAGGTAGGGACTTTGCCATGCACACTGTGGACTCAGGTCCTATCCTGACATCCACATGACCCCCTAACTCCATCTCAAAGTGCTCACTGAGTGCAGAAACAGGAGTAAGCCCCGAAGCCCTGAGTATGGCTAACTGTCATCCAAATTCTTAATTTCTTTTTAATTTAAAAAAAATTGTAGTGCTTTTACTCAGTGGATTATTAATCATTTTTTTACAAAAAGAGAGGAAATCCTGACATGTAATAGCATGAATTAAACTACAGAATTTACACTAAGTAAAATAAATCAGTCATTAAAACACAAATACCACATTTCCATTTTTATATAGCATTTAAAATAGCAAATTCATAGACAGAAAATAGAAGGTTTGGCTATAATGTGCTTCTCTCTTGAAATACGTTATCATATTTTTCTATTATTTTTATTTCTTTGATATGTGAATCATAATTTAAACATCCTTTCTAGCTCCAAGATCTTCTATAGCCCTGTAAATATGATTTTTAAGTAGTTTTATGTCTAAAATGAAAAAATGAATTATGCTAATTTGTTCATTGGGCTGGTATTAAACATGTGGGGAACTAAAGTTTATTTTTCCCCTCCATATTTCAGGGGTATATAGATCTTATAGGGTTTAGGGGATGTTCTCAGTGAGAAAAGTGACCCTCTAAGGATTAGGTCTCCTGGGTGGCTCAGGAAATGTTGCAGTGTTGCCGGGTCAACCGACCCCTGCCTGTCTGACAATGACATAAATGAATTAAGTGGCTTCCAAAGGAATTAAAAACTTGGAGGGAGAGACATAGAGAGAGGGAGAGGGAGAGGGAGAGGGAGGGAGAGAGAGAGAGAGAGAGAGAGAGAGAGAGAGAGAGAGAGAGAGAGAGAGAAAGAGAGAGCTTTCCTGTTCAACCTACCTTGTGAAAATATGGAATAAGCATATCTTGGATTTAGGGGCCAGAGAACTTGCCTTGCACATGGCCAACCTGAGTTCGATCCCTGGCATCCCAAATTGTCCCCTGAGCACCACCTGGTGTAATTCATGAGTGCAAAACCAGAAGTAAGCCCTGAATACTTCTGGTGTGTCCGTAAAACAAGAACAAAAATAAAAATCTTGGATTCATCTTTAACAACTCATTTCCCTTTCTTCCTATCATGTCTAACACCGAAATACAATTTTAACTTACATTTATATGAGTTCCTCTATGGAAACTCTAACAGAATGTGAACACTAGCATGGAGTTCAGCTTTTAGTTTAGCAATTTTAATGTATAGTTATTAATACAGCAATGAAAGTAAGCCTGTTAGGTAGATCACGCCATCCCTCTGCTAACTCCCCAGTTCACCTTGCCCTAGGTATATCCTACATGATCTGGGTGTTTTTATACTCAGGGGACATTTTCAACTGTATTACCTTTCCCTCCTCCTACTGCCTTCCATCCAGTTCTAATCTTTTTTATATATTTTTAACCTTACAAGAAATTTCTGTCCCTTTAACTTAGCTCTTGATTATATCTTTCTTTCCAGGAACGTTTTCTTTGAGAAATTTCAATATCAGGCAGATTCTTATTACCTTTAGCACAGCGGTAGGGCGTTCGCCTTACAAGCGGTCAACATGGCCGACCCGAGTTGGATTCCTCCGCCCCTCTCGGAGAGCCCGGCAAGCTACCGAGAGTATTCGATATGCCAGACACAGTAACAACAAAGTCTCCAATGGAGACGTTACTGGGCCCGCTCGAGCAAATCGACGATCAACGGGAGGGCCTTTACCTTTACCTTTACCTTTACCTTATAAAAGTAAGTAAGTAAAGGCCCTCCCTTTGATCATCGATTTGCTCGAGCGGGCCCAGTAACGTCTCCATTGGAGACTTTGTTGTTACTGTGTTTGGCATATCGAATACGTCACGGGGAGCTTGCCAGGCTCTGCTGTGCGGGCGAGATACTCTCAGTAGCTTGCTGGGCTCTCCGAGAGGGGCGGAGGAATCGAATTCGGGTCGGCCATGTTGGCTGCGTGCAAGGCAAACGTCCTATTAATTATTAATTATGAAGGTTAGAAATATCCAGCTGTGTTCATTTTTTTCTAAAAAAAATTAAGTATTTCTCAAGTTCTGCTGGATACTTTTCTTTATTTCTTGACTATGTTACTTCTTCTGTATAATGCAGAGCATTTTCATCTTTCAAAGTGTTTTTCTCTGCAGCTGCATGTAGGATATACCTAGGGCAAGGTGAACTGGGGAGTTAGCAGAGGGATGGCGTGATCTACCTAACAGGCTTACTTTCATTGCTGTATTAATAACTATACATTAAAATTGCTAAACTAAAAGCTGAACTCCATGCTAGTGTTCACATTCTGTTAGATTAGAGTTTCCATAGAGGAACTCATATAAATGTAAGTTATTTCTCTTCCCATTTTGTGATTTTTCCAATATGAGATCTTTTAAAAAATGTACTATTTTCAGTCCACTTAGAACTTTATTTACTAACTAGTAAAAGAACCTTAAAATATTTTATTGAAACTAAAGGACCTTTACTGGTTTTTATTTTGGAGCAACATCCAGTAATGCTCAGAAGTTATTCCTGGCTCTGCACTCAGGAATTACCCCAGTGACAGTGTTTGAGGAACCATATGAGAACCCAGGTGGGCTGTGTAAAAGGCAATCACCCTACTCACTGTACTGTCGCTCCAGCCTGGGACCTTTAAATGTGATCCCAAATAACCTGGCATGCTTATTTCCTCTGTTTTAGCTAAAATATATTCCAGAGAAAAATTAATATATTTTTGTCTTGAGACTTTCAGAAAAGTTATCATATGCATTTATTTCTTGTTCCTTAACAGTGTTTAAGATACCTTTATATTTACCAATATAGAATAACCAGAAAAATAAAGATATGCAATAGAAATACATTGGATGTATAAACTGTAACTGAGAGTACTTTTATCCTAATGTCATTTATTTTTCATGGATAAGAGAACAGTTTTAAATATAAAAAATAAATACATTTGTTTTTTATAATGACAGTTTAATGAAAAAAAATAATGGTCATTAAAAATCATGTAATGTGACTGTTTCTATTTTTCTTTGAATTAAAGCACAAATACCTCTTATTCCAGAATTCTTGGATTGAATCAGTGTCAGATTCTTTTAACACCTGGTAAACTACTTTACTGTTGCTATAAAATTCTGCAAAAAATTCATCATCTGCTCTTGAAAAAGAATAAAACTTCACAAAAAAATAAATTCTAAAATAGAGTTATTTTCCATCTTCAGTTGAAACTCAACACCAAAGTTCCAGATTTTATGAGATTATTTTGATTACATTTGTGGTAGAGTTTTAAAGCAAGTCAGGTTAACGCTACGTGGATGAAAACTTTTTGGATCACATGGAAGTTGTCTTCCACCTTATTGTCCTTCTTGCTGCATCCTTAACATCCTTATTCCTCAGACTATAAATCAGTGGGTTTAGCATGGGAATAACCAATGTATAAAACACAGCAGAGACCTTCTCCTGTTCCAGGGAATATTGGGAACTGGGCTGGATGTAACTGAAAGTCACCGATCCATAGAATAAAGTCACTGCAGTCAAATGGGAGACACAAGTGGAGAAGGCTTTGCGTCTTCCTTCAGCTGAACGGATTCTCTGAATTGCAACGAAGATGCGGACATAAGAGACCATGATGACAATGAAAGTGAACATTGCAATGACCCCAGAGAATATCAAAAGCAGCATTTCATTGTTATGGGCATCTGAGCAGGAGAGCTTCAGAAGTGGAGGGATGTCACAGAAATAGTGATTCACAATGTTGGGACCACAGAAGTCCAGTCGGAGCAAACCGATGGTATGTGTCAATGAGTTAATGAGTCCCCCTAGGTAAGATGCAAGGACCATCTGAATACAAACTCCTTGGGTCATTATAACGGTATATAATAAAGGATTGGCTATTGCCACATACCGGTCATAAGCCATCATGGCCAGGAGGATGCCCTCTGTGGTTACATATACTGCAAAAAAGAAACTCTGGAGAACACAGCCATGAAAGGTGCTGGATCTGTGTTTTGACAGGAAATTGACCAGCATCTTAGGAGCAAAGACGGTTGAATAGCAAATATCACAAAAGGAGAGGTTGCTGAGAAAGAAGTACATTGGCGTATGAAGCTGGATATTTAACCTGATCAAGATGATCATCCCCCAATTACCTACTAGAGTAATCAAGTAAATAAAAAAGAAAAGCAGAAACAGAGGGATCTGCCAGTCGGGATTTTCAGTTAAACCTACCAGAAGGAATTCCTTCACTCCTGTATGATTCCAGCCTGCCATAGATTTAGGTTTATGTATTTCCTTAGTTGAAAAAAAATGATGTCACTCAGATTCCAAAAAAACAAAATATTTTCTTCATGACCTGGAATTCATGTTAACAGAGAACATTGAAGTTTTCCCTGTAGCTAGCAAAAGAGATGAATTTCAACAGTGTACCATATATATGTATATATTTATATTAGATTATCTATAGTGACTAATTTTTGACAGATAATTCTACTGCATACAATTCAGTTTCCACAGTATAATTTTAAGTTTTTAAAATGTGTAGATAAAAAAAATTAGCAATTGATTGAATTGAAATTCACCTCTGGAAATTCACCCCATGCCAAACCTCTGATAATAGTATGTTATAGAACATACTATAGTACATTCGAATACTTGCCTGTAAACTACAAACTGGGGTGCCCTATAATATTAAGTCATTCCTTCATCCTCTGTTTTGATATTTTCAAACCTAGTTATTTTATGATACTAACTTTCTAAATACGCAATTTTCTTTTTTTCTCAAATGTCAGTTATTTTTGTTTCTGGGCGATCTTACCTTCTGCTCTGACACCCCACTCGGAAAATTAATCATGGTGGCTTCTTTCCAAAGATTTTCCTTGGAAGAAAAGATAGAGGAATGCTTTATGGTTGATATTTTAATAAAAATATCACACATCAATATTATCACACACCAATATTATCTGCAATAATTGTGAGTGTCATGATCAAATATAAGGAGTGTGAGTAGAAAGAGATGGTAGGATGAAGGCCAAAGCAATAAAACAGTGGGTAATCCTTTTGCATTGCACTTAGCTGACCTGCGTTTGATACAGACACCCTTATGGCCTCTGGGAGCCTGCCAGTAATGATCCTTGAGTGCGAAGCCAGGAGTAAGCCCTGAGCATCATGGGGTGTGACCCCCCAAAACAAACAAACAAATAAAAAAGAGATTGCGGAAACTCTATTTTGTAGTGGGTCACTTTCGTATTAAAAAAATCCAAAAGCTAATATCTTAGAACACAAACATGTCTTTCAAACAAGAGATTGGAGTAGACACTACAGATCTCAAAATAAATGCCTTATTTATGGTCTTCAGGAAAAAAAAAATGTTTCTACTTATCTCAGGATCGGAATAATCATGAAAGATATTTCCATGGCATCACCCAAACAAAAGGATATTCTTCAATATATGAGTTTTTTCACTGAATGAAATTATTAGTTTAACCTTACATATGCATTTTTATATGTGGTTATAAAAAGCATAGTGAACCATCTACCAGATTCTAGGAAAAGAGAATAATTTGTTTATAATAGCAGTTTTTAAAAAATAAAGTCTAATAGCAAACTACAGAATCAGAGTTTCCAGTTTCCACACTAATTTTTTAAAAGAAAATTTGTGGTTAAGGATTTTGCGGGCTGGAGCAATAGCACAGCAGGTAGGGCATTTGCCTTGCACGCAGCCAACATGGCCAACCAGAGTTCGATTCCTCTGCCCTTCTCGGAGAGGCTGGCAAGTTACCAAGAGTATCTCGCCTGCACGGCAAAGCCTGGCAAGCTACCCATGACATATTCGATATGCCAAACACAGTAACAAAAAAGTCTCACACTGGAGACGTTACTGGACCCTCTCGAGCAAATTGATGAACAACGAGAGGATAGGGATAGTGATAGTGATAGTGAAGGATTTTGCATTAATGTTCCACTTTTCATTATTTTCTCCTGTAAGGCTGTGCAGTGCAATGGTGATATCATCTATGGGACTGTGTTGGAATAAGGATAGTATGAGTTTCAAGACAGCTCTGCTTTTGACTTGTCACATTCAATGCCTGTCACAAGTCATTCAGAGGATTAGTATATCAGAGTTTTTCTTTATCACCTACAGCAGAATGGGGAAAACAAAATTCTTTCCAGTTTGACTAGTATCAGTTTTCACAGTAGATGTAAAAATTACCTGATACATAATAGAGATGGACATGTCTCAGCACCAAAACATAAAAACAGAAAACTTGTGGAGCAGGAGAGTATTCAGGAGGAAACCAAGGATGACTTGGTTCAATAAACAATAGGATATTTAGCATCAGGTTATAGATTGAACTCATAATAGGAAAAATAATTACAGAGAAAAAGTGTTACCAAGAGTCAAGGTATGAGGTATTTTTGCTCTCAGTATTATAGATCTTTCACAGATTTATTCTATCAGGGTTTGCTACAACTTGCTGCTTTCTTTAGAATATTAAGAAGCATGAACTTCCTCTTAGAAAAAATATAGCACTGCACTGTAGCACTGTAAATTCGTTGTTCATCAATTTGCTCCGTGTGGGCACCAGTAATGTCTCCATTATGAGACTTGTTACTGTTTTTAGCATATCAAATACACCACAGGGAGCTAGACAGGCTCTGCTGTGTGAGTGTGATAATCTGTGTAGCTTCAAGACTCTCTGATAAGGACGGAGGAATCAAACCTGGGTCAGCCGTGTGCAAGGCAATACACACTATCAGCTGTGCTATCACTCCAGCCCAGAAAAAAATATACTCTAAATTTATTGTCATAACCTAATCTATAGTGAAATGAATTTTTCTCATTTTCATTCAGTGTCTTGAAATGCATGGAAAAAATAATCAATTTGTTTATAAAATATGAAGTGCTTCACAGTAATTTATGTATATTTATGATGTCAGAGAGCCATTGTATTCCTCTCTATTCAGAGAGTGATGAAGGACACACTTGAAAGTATGTTACTTGAGGATAAATCACAAAATTTAAAGCATTTTTCAACTTACTGAATGAGAAAAAGCAGACACATTCCTCCAAAAAGAGTCACTGATTTTCAGAATAAGGGCTTTCCATATTGCAGTTGTGCTATAGACACAAATATGCTATGTGTGTTATAGCACATTTGTTACACAAACAAAATAATGTCTACTATATAGTCACTTAATAGTCTCATAGACATTTGTCCACTAAATGCAACTATATTAACAAATATTTATAAATAAATTCACTCTAAAAGGTCATATATTCTATAATTTATTATTTTTATTATAACGCTTAACATTATATAATATTATCTTTAAATACATAATAAAATATAACATATAAATATAAATGCATAATGTGACATATGGAATATAACATAAATAAGTGCATGCATCTATGTCCAAAAGTACCTGAATTCACATATAAGTAGCCCATGCTTATGGTTTATGTTAAAATTATTTAAAAGAAAAAGAATAAAACAATACACACATCCACACAATCTTATATAATCATGTGGACTAGTTTAATTTAAAAACAGTATGCTTATTTGATTACTACTTCATTCAGACAAAATACACTTGGGATAGAATCTTATAGTGTTTTATAGCAGAAGAGTTATAGTTACTTGGAGTAATAAAGTATATGAATACCTAGGATTATTATAAAAACATTAGTGATAAACTCAAGGAAAATATAAAATAATTGTTAAAGTATTATTATCTAAAATAATAAAGTCGAAACATTTTCAGACATCCACTTTGGATGAAATTATTTTCTTTGTACTACAGCTATCTTATATTACAGGTCTCAGAAATTTTACTTTCAAAGAATATTCCATAAATGTGCAAAAGATTTAAAGTCACTATATAAACCAAGGTTAAATGCCAAAAACATGCACAAACATCTGTGCACAGAAAGACAGGAATACAGGTATTTATATATATATTACCTTTTCTACAGAATGAAATAAGTTTTGAAAGGCACACCACAGTTCAGCAAATTGTATTCATAATTTGGAAATAATACTGAAATAATACAGTTAATAGCATATATTTTTTGGTATGGACAGACAATAAAATATATCAAGAGGTGAAAATGAGTCTACATTGCCATTCTAAACATATTCACAACTAAACTCACAACTAAAGTTCAAAATCCAAAATCTAGTAAAGCCCAGGTTCCATGGTACTTAAAGAACTCATTCCTGTGGTAGAGTTTTGTTTTGTTGGGTACCTCTGCTCATGGGGGCAGAAATTGTGCTCAGGTTATAGATATAAATCTCAGATGTCCACAGGTGAGATCATTAAGATCCTTCTTGTCTCCAGAGAAAAGAACTAATTTTAGAGTTGTAGATCTTTTGAATCATTATTTACTAGATATATTTCTTTTGTGTTGATGGAAATGTACTTACTTTCTCTTCCTAATTAAATCATTAAAAATGGATAGGATCTCCTAATTACAAATAGCTTAGGATACTGCAACACTTCAGTGAGTAATTCAATTGTGTGGACTAAAGAAATGTTTCCATCATATTTATGTTGCTTAGATAAATATTTAAATATTCTAATGCTTAGTGAGCCAGAACTATCTTCTCTTACGTGCACTTGTACACAGTCTATCTACTACAGTCATTCATTATGAATCTACTAATGTATGAAATCATACTCTAACAACTTTCATAAGTCTTCACATTAAACTAGTATTAGAGTCCCAGAACATAGTTTCGAAGTTAAGGCACTGGCCTTGCAACCAACTGATTCTGGTTTGATCATTAGCACTGTACACGGTCCACTGAGGTCCCCTGAACCTTACCACCAACAGGTGTGATCCCTGAGCATATAATTGGAGAAAAACATGAGCAGAGCAGGGTGTAACCCAAATTCGAACCCTAAAACATTGTGTATGAGAGACTACACAAGCATATATATACAAATACAAGAAAAGGAGTAGGGGATAGGTGGAGCAGTCATTGACTGCATGTTTTCCTGTTTGCTCTTTTACCTAAAAAAATGTGTTCTTCCTGATTTCAAAATGCTCATAGATTTGTGGATTATAACTCAACAACCTTTTATAACTTCTGGTGAAGAAGTCACAGATACATATTATGTGGAGATTTTATAAATATTTCATATAAATATTTTTATATTAGATATTTTATAAATATTTCATATAAATATTTCATATGAGTTAATTTTTTGAGAATGTTTATATGGCATATGTATCACTGTATCACTATCATCCATTGCTCATCGAT